ACTCCCTTATCGGTCCAGCAGGGGAACCAAGACTCTGTGGGCTGAAGAGGCCACACCCCTCATCTTTGCTGGGCATGCTCCAGCCAGAATCTGGATACAAAAGGGAGCAACTCAGCTCCTGCAGACGGACACGCTCTAGGAGGTGGAGGCTGGCCAGACAGCAATGACCAAGAACCGTCACGCACCTGATACTACAGAGAGAGAAGAGGCCGCAGGATCCCCAGGCTGACTAGTCATGGAGGAACAGGAAGAATTGAATGGGGAACTGGTCATAGGGGCTTGACTTGGCGTGTTTCAGCAGGGTCCCCACTGAACAGGTGGCAGGCAACCATGCCACCGCCAGGACCCTGGGTTGAGACCTGGTGCGATATCACCTTACCCTGGCTGCCACCCACCCCAAGGCAGCAGCCCACCTCTCCAGCCACTCATGCCATCCGGCCCTGCTGCCTTGCTGTTCAAGGGTAGCCCTACTGGCTCTGCCCACTAGGCCATACTGCCCTGCAAGAAAGGGCTGCTGTATTGACTATGGCCATTAGGCCCCACAGCCCTGCAAGAAAAGGCTATTCTATTGATTCTGGACACTATGTCACATAGTTCTAATGAAGAGGGTAGCTATATTGACTCTAGCCATTGGGCCACACAGCCCTGTGAGGGAGCGCACCCCATTGACCCTGATCATTAGCCCTTACTGCTTGGAAGCCAAGGGTTGTCATTCAGACTCAGCCACTGGATTACTCTATATTGACACCAGTGTAAAAGATCAGAATCCAGATGGTCAGTGAGAGATCTGTCTCGCATCAAGTCGGACCATTCCCAGGGAACAGGGAAGGATCCGATTCTCCTCTCCCTTAGGAAGGTTTTGCTCCATGGTGACCCCATGTACTGCAGTGGGATGATTATCAGGTTACACCAGTGTAAGACGGGAATCATACCCCAAAGAGCTGGCTCTGATACACAACCTCCCACCACTGAATAGTCCTGTGGATGCCAGCAGAACTATCCATAGAGCCAGGCACTGTTCCGCATGCGATCAGCTCACAGGGAATAACACGCCCCATGGGAGAGGAGCAGAGCCGGAATAAAACTGGTCAGGTTACCTGCAATACTAGGGCATGAACTGTATTGCTGAAGTCCCGTACAGATTAAAACACAAAGATTGACACTCCCTGACCATGTCCTCCCCTGGAATTCCCAGGCACACCTGACAGAGAAAACACCCCGTGGATTCAAAAGTAGCTTACGGAGCAGCTGCACTGTACACACTGATTTGGCTGCCGGGAAGGGAAGAGTTCGCTGGTGGTAAACATCTCCCCTGGTTGGTAGGTTGTCCCGTTGTACTGGCAAGACTTCTCAGGCGCCCGGAGGCCAGACGGCGTGTGCGGCTCTACAGGGGGAGAGGAGGAACAGCAACAGCCGCGCTGAGTCTCGTTGCTTACCAGCCCCGGCCTTCAGGGCCCGGCAGACTGACGCTACACAGATCCACGCCACTGATCCTGCTCTGATTCATGGGAAGCTGGGACCATCTTCCAGGGGAAATGTAAACATGGCACACTGTTATCAGCTTATCCGGCTCTGGGTCCAGCCTGGCTAGGGCCATCTCCGTCTGGAAGGGAGCCCATAAGACAGTTTGTGCTGCCTCTCTGTGAAATTATGATTAATCTGAAAATCAGTATGAGAGCTCCCAGGACAGGCCCATAGTAAAAGGGAAGAACTTATGGATAAGGAAGCCACATTTCTTCCTTTTCTCCCCTTTTCACCAGCAGGTAGGGAATGGCTACTGCCCTGCTCCAACAGCACAGTCTTCCTCTTCCTGCGTTGTGGGAGATAGAAAGTGGGGGGGAGGGGGAACTTTGATTCTGCACTTTACCCCCATCAATTTTGATTCTGCCTCTTACCCCCATCATTGCACCAGACATGGCCCACCTTCCCTGGATAGCCTGTGCTGGGGAGGTAAGGGACAATGTTCCCTCTAATTTTTTTCCATGTGTGTGGAATAAATGTTGCTCTGTGCACTGAGACAAATGTGGATGTGCACCACCAGGAGGAACACATGCTGCTGTCTGTGGGTGTGGTGAGCAGTCTGCTAATCAGCTGGGCAGCATTTGAATCTCTCCTGGATGGATGCCCCAGCGCACAGCTTACAAGGCACACTGGTAAGGAAGATTCTGAATGCATCTAAGCGACAGTGCAGCACTATAAGTTGGGGTAGGGAACCTCAGGCCTGCACACTGGATGCGGCTCCCACCTTACCTGGATCCAGCCCCCAAGGCTCAGGGCTCCATCCTAGCTTTGGAGAACCTACACTGGTGCTCCAGCCCCTCTGCTGCCCCACAGTTTGGACCCCACCAGGCTCTGGTGTGTGAAGGGAATGTGGCGAGTGTCTATTTGCTTCTTAGTCAGGGGCCACATCAGTGAGAGGTTTTGGTTTTTCTTCTCATTTATGTGCAGCCCCTGACTAATTTTTCATTGCAGAGTTCAAGTGGGCGACCGGCACTTGGGTCTGTGCGCCCTCAGCCTTGCCTGGGTGGGCGTGTCCCCGCTGCCTCCCCACAAAAAAATCATGTGACCCAGGCGCTATTTCCAGCACTGCCCTGCCTTGCCACGAGGCACTGAGCAGGTCTTGGGGCCAGCTGTGCTGCTGTGAAATGGGAACAACGCCCTTTGCCCAAGTGTTTGACATCGCTGAGAACAACGGGGACTCTGGGGACCAGCCCGTTCGTTGGTGTCATTGGCACAGCTCCATGAAAGTCCTGTGCTGACTGAGAGGTGTCTGTGATCTGGCTCTATTGAGCATTGTCTCTTTGGGGTTTGTACAGCTCCCGGCACACAGGAGCCCATTCCTGACTGGGCTTTTGGACTCCCTCCTAATATAAATAGTTGGTGTGAAGACCCATGTTCTATAAGTGTAGAGCGTCGCTTCGCTTCCTGTTTTCCTCATGTCCTGACTGCCCAAAAGCAAAATCATCTGTAGAAACTGAGCTCCCAGACACAGAAACGGTGACCAAAGAAATCTGCTCCCTACATCCACTCACCTGCACAGCGAGGGCAGCACTGCTGAGGGTCAGTGATGAGATTCATACAATGCAGGGCTGGGCACTGGATTTGATAACAGCTCACGTTCACATTCTGTTTGCAGGGAGAGAGAACAGAGCTGTTCAGGGACATAAAAATAACTATTCTGGGTCAGACCAAAAGTCCATCTAGCCCAGTATCCTGTCTTCTGACAGTGGCCAGTGCCAAGTGCCCCAGAGGGAGTGAACAGAACAGGCAATTATTGACTGATCCATCCCCTGTTGCTCATTTTCAGCTTTTGACGAACAGAGGTTAGGAACACTATCCCTGCCCACCCTGGCTAATAGCCATTGATGGACCTATCCTCCATGAACATGTCGAGCTTTTTTTTAACACTGTTATAGTTTTTGCCTTCACAACATCCTCTGGCAAGGAGTTCCACAGATAGACTATGCATTGTGTGAAGAAATCCTTCCTTTGGTTTGTTTAAAACCTGCTGCCTATTAATGTCATTAGGTGACCCCTAGTTCTTGTGTTAGGGGAAGGAGTAAATAACTCTTCTTTATTCACTTTTTCCATACCAGTCCTGATTTTAGACCTGTATCATATTCCCCCTCAGGGCTGCTTCTCTCTTTATTAAGTTGATCTGATCCAATAGAGTCAGTGGTCTGGGACACTGCTGTAGGTCAGAAAGCCTGAGGCCTACTCTCTGCCTATAACCTAGGGCAAGGCACTTTCCCTCTCTGTGGCACTGCTTCCCTCTCACCTTTTGTCAGATTTATGGGACTCTTTCTATGTGTTTGTGCAGGGCTGAGCACAACGGAGCCTCAGACTTCTCTGGGGAACATTGTCCTATGTGCCTGGCCCCAGCCTTGCAGACTCACATGTTTGTAACTCTAGACTGGACGAATGGTGCTCCCTGTGTCTTGGAGGACTGACCAAGGGGGGAAAGGAAGAAGCTCCAGCTTGTTCTGTACACAGCCAGATGGGTTCTGCAAGGGCCATCGCCCCTTGTGCTCCAGTCCCTCCGTTAACTCCCAGGCCACTTCCATTGCTTGTCCAGGGCCCTGTCCCTGAACATCAAAGCCATCAATGGGTCAAGACCCCACCGCTTCTCCACCTGTCAACATGGCTTCCCGCTGCTGGGACAATGCAGCTGTGAGCGCCAAAGACAAAGCTCCCGCATCAAGGAGATTCGGATTCAGTGCTGGATGAGCCTAATACAAAAGGAGTAAGCTCATCCAGCAGCTGCTCACCCTTCAGGCATCTGCCAGCTCCCTCGCTTTGACAGAGTTTTGCCACCGTAAACTGGACTGGTTAGAGGCTGCCAACGCAGTGTTCATGCCCAGCGGCATGCTACAAACACAACAGATGAGATATACCTCCAGACAGGTGCATCGGATGCAGTACATCAGCCCCTGAGGTTCCAAGTAGGGATGCCAGCTCTCTCCTGGACCGTACTTCTTGCCATTAAAATCACAGAACATATCTGGTTTTGCCACCGTAAACTGGACTGGTTAGAGGCTGCCAACGCAGTGTTCATGCCCAGCGGCATGCTACAAACACAACAGATGAGATATACCTCCAGACAGGTGCATCGGATGCAGTACATCAGCCCCTGAGGTTCCAAGTAGGGATGCCAGCTCTCTCCTGGACCGTACTTCTTGCCATTAAAATCACAGAACATATCTGCACCTGAAAATCAAACCGGTGGAAGTTATGCACGGGTAGGGAACACTCTTGGA